TTCATAGGCTTGTGGTTATTGCAAGAATGTATCATAGCCCGTATTCGCGCCCCATCTGGTAAACGGTGCTTTGCCTATGAGAGACTTTTGTTCTTTGTTAGCAGTTACCTTTTGCGCTAGTTCGTATAAGTATTGTTATTTCCCATGCTAAGTCGAAGGCGCTGGTATGCATTGAGTGCACCGCAAACATCCAGGGATGTTATTATATTGTTCAAATATTTTGTTTTCCCATCCTGATGTTATCTGTTCCTTCTCGAAATAGTTGATTTCAAGTCATTGAATAATTTTAGATGAGCAACAAACTAACGAAGCTCGGCAGACAAAAATATACTTTCCAAAAGTCATTGGACAAACTATTCCGGAAAGTAAAGTGAGATTAGAAAGGATGACCAAATCTAGAGTGCTTCCATCAGACGAAATCGGAATGCCGCATGTGGGAAAGAAAGCGAAAACATCTCACTATCTATGCAGCGGATTGGGGTACAGCATACATGAATGAATGTATGTGTCAGCTATACGCCGTAACGGCGCTTCGCTGCCTTGCGACCAGCACCAGTCGCACGAGGGCTGAGTATATCGTGAGGACGCCCACTGATACACGGATTCGAACCCGCGCCGCAAGATTACTAGACAAGCTCGTTACCTCGAGGCTACAGACCAACCGATATAGATCGTTTAGTGTTTATTACTGCTCTTTCACTCCAAACAACATGTAATCATTGGCAGTTGGTCACTTTACCTGTGTTCATATCCACTGTGACGTGGTTGATCCCCCCGTTGCCTGAATTGACGGTTGCTTCTCAATCGGAACGCAAGGTCGCTGCCCCACCACAGGAGAGAGAAGACCGGCTCGGATGATCAAAGGAACAGGGTTGTGTTAGCCAATCATACCGTTCAATATAAAGATAAAAGCGAAAGTTCGTGAATAGTATTTAAAGCTTGGTTGAAAAACTCCAGAAATTTCAACTTACAGCCAACCAACTAATGCCACCCCCGTGTTAATTGGCCGCTTCATCCGGTTGCCCAACTGTTCGCCCCAATCTATGCGGGGGAGCTTGGCTCGCCTATCATGCCTTGACGTCGTAACGATGATGGGCTCCTCGGTAATTCGCTCCGAGTTTTTCTTCACAACAATACCCCCTTCTAGTTGTGTTGTACGAGTTCAGCTTTGGGGTGAGCAGCATGGGTGATACCAATTTGCGTCGCCGTTTCGGTCTATGTGCTGTCAGGTTTCGCGGCCAATCATGTGATTGATGTTGGGATGTGTCAGGGTTACCGTCTCACCTGCGTCGGCCAGTATGTCCAGAGGTAATTGCGTTGCTGGTACTTGTTGTCGCAGTTGTTCGCCAGTTTCTGCTTCTCTAACAGCTGATTAGCATGTCGCACCCGATTTGCCGTCCCCCACCCTGGATACCGTAGATCACCTTACCACGGTTGTATAGCACACGGCTTATGGCCCATTTGGTATAGTGGATGCGATAAACTCTCGCCAGAACTTGTTGGCCTGTTGGCCAGACTCCCTTTCGAGCACCGTGTAGAATGCTGAATTGATCTTCTATCTGATAGTTGAGGGACAGTAATTGTTCTTCCTGGGTCTGAAAGCATTATGCAGCACATGGACTTTCCTTTGAAACAGAGTTTCAGCCATGCATAGTGCGTTCGGTGTCTGCGAATTTGGAGTTTTGCGGTAAGTCATGAGAAATGTGTCAAGAATATAAACCAAGGTGCTTCCTCCCTTCAATTTTTAGCACGAACTTTTTAACTGTATCCACAAAGCGTTTTGTTTGTCCGTTTGATTGTGAGTGGAAAGGTGGAGACCTTACATGGACGATCGCGTTTCTGCGATGGCAGCCAACAAATTCAGAGGCGGTGAACTGAGTACCATTGTCCGAAACCAATGTCTGGGGAACACCGAAAGGAGAAAATATCTGTCGAAGAGCAGAGACAGTGGCTCTTGCGGTAGTTTTCACCACTGGAATCACCTCAGGCCATTTATTGGGGGTATCGACAACTATGAGAAAAAGATCACCGTCAATTGGACCCGTGAAGTCGATGTGTACCCTGGACCATGTTTCCGTAGGTCTTGGCCAGGAGTGCAATTCCGTCTTTCTTGGCGGCTTAGGTCACTGACACCTCGGGACAATTCTTCGTGAAATACTCGTTCTGAGAATCCCATATAGTGACAATACACATAGCTTCGGACCATCCATTTCATGCAATTCATTCCTGGGTGGCCAGCACGAAATTGTCGGAGGGTAGAATCATGATGTGTCGCTTCCTGCACCATTTCGAACGTTACTGGTAAGATATCGAAAATGTCAGACACAACTTGGTTTACTTGGTGTACTACGGATATTTGAGCAAATTCCAAATCCCCCGGTTCGTGGTGCTACTTATCAATCAAACGAGATAACGTATCCGCCTGGCCAATGTTATGTGTAGATTGATATTTGACGACGAAATCGTAACCAAGTAGAACATTTGCCCAGCGTTGGAGACCATTAGCCGTGCGGACCGGAATGCTTTTCTTTGATCCAATGGTTATAACTAAGGGTTTGTGGTCAGTGAACAGCGTGGGTTTCCGCACATATAGCATTTTGTGAAATCGCTTGACTGCAAACACGGTAACCAAAGCTTCCTTCTCGATCGGTCGATAGTTGCGTTCCGCTTGATTGAGTGAGCTGGCTGCATGTGCCACATCTTTCTCCGAACCATCGGGGAAAATGTGGGATATGACCGCTCCGATTTCACAGTTTGACGCGTTACCAGCAACCACGGTCTCCAGCTCCGGATTGAAATGCCTTAGCAATAGGTCAGAAGACAATATAGACTTGACATCATCAAATGCGGCTTGACTTCAGGAGACTATACAAATTTGCGATCCTTTACCAGAATTCATTTAGCGGTCCACGTAGCCGATGCATTTCGAGCACAAATGAGCTGTAATGACTGGTCAACCTCAAGTATCGTCTGAGCTTCGCGACATTATCAGGCGGAGTCATAAGTTTGATGGTACTAATGTTGGCAGGATCCGGACGACGGCCATCATTGTCGATGATGAAGCCAAGATACTTTACATACTTCATACCGGCATTACAATTTTGTTTTCAAATGGAAACCGTAGTCATTTACGCGGTTTGGAACTGCTTCTAATCTTTCCGTCAACTCTCGATGGGTATACCCTTTGATTATAATGTCGTCCAAATGACCTGCGACCCCTGATAACTCAGCTAACATCGTATCCATAATATGTTGAAAAATACCGGGAGCTGATTTTACACCAAACGACAGACGGTTGAACTGGTAAACACCTCGGTGCATATTGATTATCAGCAACCCTTTTGAAGCATCGTCGACTTCAATCTGTAGATAGCATCTGATGAATCTAGCTTTGCAAAGTAAACGCCGTCACTGAACTTAGCAACCAAATCTTTTGCGACTGGCAAATGATACTGGTGCATTTTAAAAGCAACATTCAATCCATAGTAATATTCCGCACAGATACGAACGGTCTCGTTATTCTTCTTGACGACAACAATAGGTGCTGCCCGTGCGGAATAGTTCACAGGTTGGAGGACGCCGGATCGCTCCAAACGATCAGGTTCCGCAGGAACAATCCGAAACGCGGCATATGGTACCAGTCTTTTGGGTCGGAATACTGGCTTAGCACCGTCTTTGAGAGTAAGACTTGCTTTGGTCCTTGTGCATCTTGCAAAGTTGTTGCGAATCACAAACGGGAATTTTCTCTGTAGCTGCTCGATCAGCATGTTGTTTGATGCATCCACTTCCGAAGAGACCCCGCATGTCCGAGCTGGAACTCATTGCAGACTTGACTCAATGTCAAACAGGTGCAGCTCTTGCATCCAGCCAAGTCCAAGTAGATTCAAATGTGACAGCTCCGTAATGTATACTATGTTGTTTGCCCTAGCAGTACCAAAAACCATCTCACACTGCAACTCACCAATGAGAATAATTTGACCTTCTGAAGAGTGAAATGCAACATGAGTCGTTCGGCTAATTGATGGAAGCTCAATATACTACCAAGTTTTACGGGAGATACTTGTGATCTCCGAGGCTGTATCCAACTGAAGACGTACTTGTTGCCCCTTCAGGTGAACTGATGTATTTTCTGCGAACCACAAGTATAGCAGAGTAGGTCAAACCTGTTGGAATGCCTGTATACCTTTTCTTTCTGCATCCAATGAATTGTTCGGCTTGTCCAGCTTACAACTCAACCAATGTACTGACGTCCGGATGGCCCTAGAGTCTCAAAGGTGAAAGCTAAGAAGATGTAGCACTGCGAATCACTCGCACCTCCACATGTGTATGATTCCTAGAAATCCTTTAGTGACGTTGAGATTCCCTCGTATGATTGCATAAGTTCTTCTGAAATATATTGCAATTGTTTTTTATATATATTGGGGAATTAGGTGGTTCCTCTGTCGGAATGTTGTTCCCGTTTGTTTGAAACACAAGTACGATATCTGCCTTTGAGGCGGTACTCGGACTGCGACGATACCTCATCCACGCACTCGACGCCAACTACATCTTCCCTATCTAACTCTTCTCTGGTGCCCAATATTTAGTCTTAGCCAGCTCTTCTCTCACTCAGTAAACCTTTTCCTTAGCTTAATATTTGTGTGTTCTACCCATTGCCTTTGGCTAGCCGGCTAGTCCCGTACCAGATGCGCGCGCCATAATCTGCCCGCACACTCCGCTACGGCGTGCCCTATCACACTCTAACGGAAATAACTGATTATGGTAACAAAGTGCAACTGGAGCACACATATACTTCGTGTATTGTGAACTAAGTATCAGTTTATTATTATTATTTTTAAGTTATTTAGTTGGTATCGAACTAAACTAGTGTATTGCCTGTGTCAATGTTAGTTGTCAAAAGGACACCACAGAGATTGGGCCACCAGTCTTGAAATTTACTTGTTGTGTATGCTCCACTCTCAATTTATCAGAGAAAGAACCCAATTTGTTTATACTTGCAGATCGAAATGGATGACACATGGAAGCGGTACTTTATGATGGTAACTGCCCATGTGGTGGTACATGAACTGTCCGACCTACCCGCTGCTCTTATTCTACCAATCTGTTTGGGTGCCAGCCGAAGATTTCAAAGAGACTTTTGTCAACTATTTGGCTTCGGGAACCGAGTTGCACAGCCTTACAATATGCAGGAAGACCACAAATACCGATCAACGTATGCCGGTACTGTCCGTTCTCCCTACAATGCTGCTAAGCACCACCACTCTACAGGAACTATGGGCGAGACAGATTCGCTGATGACGGCGAACTCATCCCAACGTTACGTCCCCATGGATACCGTGAACGGTGGAGTGCATTCAGAACAGCCACGGGCTGATGATGGTACAACCATGACACAGACGGCAAACGTACCGCGATGGAAGTGGAGTCAGGGATGGGTGGCACGGGAATCTCGAAGCAACCAGTCAGATCCAATGCTGAATCCATTGAATTTACATGCCAGTCAGTCACATCTCTGGATACCCCAGCGGTATTTGAACAAGCGTCAGTATACCACTATCCCAGCTGACCAGTTTCAATGGTATCCGAAGCGAACCTATCATGATGGTCGATCATTTCATCCTATACAACCCGAGGCCTTACATCGAAGAGCAGCATCTGCAAATGACTTGGTTTATGAACCCACGAATGCCGGCAACATTCAACAGCGGATTCCCGTACATGGCAGTTGTGAAGCCGAATGGTTTGAACCTCGGTCGTATGTATAGTGTTCAGGAAGATGGATTTTTCTCTGTGTTAGACTGTAATTGGCTACGACTAACCCCAGGGAGATGAAACGTAACTGGGATAACTGTACGCTCCAAAGTTACTCCTTCACTTATTTCCGATACAATGTCCATCGACGTCTGGCTATCCGATACCTGATTTGTTCTCTTGCTATTGTTCCTTAACAAACCCCGAACCTTTTGTAGTGATTGCGGAACCATCATATCATTGTTGTCTATCATTTTGTAGTTCGGTTCTCTGGAACGTGAGAATGTTTGCACCCCCTAATTTTATAAACGATACACGTTGGATTGGGTATGATGAGGAAGTGCACAGAAAGATCCGGCGATACTGTTATGTTCCTCCATATATATATATATATATATATATATATATATATATATATATATATATATATATATACAGCATAAGTTGCAAAACTTAACAGTATCAGAAAACTCTTTTAGCCAGAATGCAGTACTGCATTGTGCTGGATTCAGATCTTAACTCAGAGCATCCAATCAATCCGCAAATCAACAAGTTCACTTCCTTTACATCATCAATCGTAGCTAAGGAAGTTCACCCGCTTGCAACTTGAGGTCGATAAATTTTTCTACTACCGTTGCGTACGAATTGACCTAAACCTGAATATAGTTGCTACACAACTTTGTGCTCTTGATATGTTTCGAAAAATACTGGTCCACCATTGGCTACGACCCAATGCTAGTTTAATAGAGTGGATCCGTGTTCCAATTGGTCACACATGAAAGTGTAACAACTAACTGGACTAATCAGCGTTGTTAAGAACTAAAGAGGTTGTGGTAAAGCTAATTTTGCCAATCAGATGTGTACATCTGAAATTCGTTGACACGCAGGTTATGGACAAATGCTGGAATGCACATATTATTTTTCAACGAGGACTGATGGGGAGCCTTGGTGAAAGGAAGAGCTAGGCGAGTCAGGAAATTATGCATTTAATCATTGCTAGAATGTTTCCACTAACGCATCAGCTGTTGAAAAGTGTGCAAGAGGTAACAACCCCGCTCAAAAAGTGCGCAACACTATACTTCGAAAATCTATCGAGTGCAACACATGCTTGTATTTGTCATCGTGTCACGTGAGCAGTAAATTAATTGTGTGTACGATTTTGAAGAGGGTGATAAAGAGCATAGTGTAAAGACAGCTTTCGTAAAACCCGATTGCAGACCCCATCCATCCAACGATGTGTCTGGATTACGACACTCCAATGGTACTCTTTGCAGATTGTTGAAAATAAAACCATGGATTGCCGGCCGTTAGCTATCGCACCCCAAAATCGTACACAGTACTTGGAGAGTTAGACTAATTCTAGAGCTAGCACATTCCACAATGCCCTAGGCTGCGGAGAAGTGACTAGATTTATTAGAACAGAACCGAGCCATAGTGACCTTGGTCACCTCCGTTTCACTCTCTAATGACCTGGCAGAAATTCACCGAACATAACGGACTTTGTGACAACGACGGAACCCCCACGTAATAATAATGATCATGTGTCAGTTGTACGCCCTAACGGCGCTTCGCTGCCGTGCGACCACCACCAGTCGCAAGCAGGTTGTCTGATGCCGCCTTGAGAACACAGAAGCGAATGTCACTGCACAAGCTGTATTAGCACAATGAACACAAGACCGGGCGAAACGAAGAGCGAAACACACCAGAACCAACTGTCTTACACTTGAATACACATTAGATGAAATGGGACCCCTGGGGCACGAGTGGCGTGAGTTTGTGTGAAACAGGCGACGAGAACAAATGTCTCACAGCACAAAACTGAGCTTAAACTATAGGCATCATTTGTTCCGACATAAAACATCTTTTTTGGTGTGGTACAACTTGCTTTGTGAACAACTCCAGGTTCCAAAGTTGGACTTGGAGAATCCGCTGTGCGGTTAGGTTGCTACAAGCAATCTCTATTAAGACCTCGGTTCACTTGAGGTGGATCTCGATCATTCAGTTCACGTGGATCGAATGTGAAATGGAAATATTTTGGTGTTACTCATCCCAACACTAGCACCCCACGACCGCGGTTTCGTCCTGGTTTGGACTCATCAGATGGAGTTAGCCTGAGCTGGGGTGGAAATCAGAGCCTAGTGGTTCACGGCTGATGCCATAAACACTATGCCACTGCGATCCGTGAGCAACGCTTGGTACAGCGGAAAAGTGTTCAAAGTTGCACTTGGAGAATCCGCTGTGTGGTTGGGTTGCTAAAGCACTCTATTGAGACCTCGGTTCACTTGAGGTGGACCTCAGTCATTCCGATCACTATAGGTCCTTGAATTGAGCTATAAGTGAGCTTTAATTTTCTGGCTGTGCGCATCATTTCGGTCGCTGTACTTTCATCATGCTTTTGCATCAATATAGCTGAATGTTGATTCGGGCTGAAAACACAAAGAAAAGTGGATCTAACAAATGAAGACTCGATAAATTGGGACAATATAAAATCCTTCTCGGACTACTTCAGAACGCCGCCTTCGCAACTGCTGGAGTCACAAATGAAATTGATTGAAATCTGACACAGCGGATCCGTTTTCAATCCTCGGAAACAAGTTCTGTTGGTCTCTCAGCCCCGACTGAGGAATTGAATCATGATAATTATTCTGGGTGTGCTTTCGAATACGTGGTTCAAATACTGGGAAGAATTGGTCCGAACGGATATTCGTTGTCAGGATCATCCATGGAAATTTCGGTAGCGGCTGTTCCGACGTGGCATAGTCGAACGTTTAATGTTCAGTTACCGCATAATGTTAAAACAAACAGAAAAACCACATCTGATGATAGCGCATCACAAAATTATAGAATTTGACCCGTCATCATCCCTATTCAATACAGCTTCCAGTGTCTGAAAAGTATCAAGTGGAACATAGTTGATTAACGAGAGCTTGTTAGCATAGGTACTCGTGAATGTGAGCAATTCAAATTACCATCTTTGATGAAAAATTGTTTCAGATGTCGCATGTTCATAGGTACCTTACAGTCTGCTGAAGCTGTCGAGATCTACATGCGCCTCATGTCCAAGCTGAAGGAAGATCCGTATGTGAAGTAGAAGTGCTTTAAAGCAGAATGCAGTTAGCCACTGATCTCGATCTATGGCACTGTTCTGTTCGAGGAAGCCTCCTCACAATTACAAAACGAGCAGGCTGTTAAAAAAGTGCTAAGCTCGGGCGGGGGGGGGGGGTAAACAAACACATTTAGAAGTGGCATATCAGACCGCTTACTGTTTGTTGGGCATTAGCAGAATGGCTTGTTATGCATTCCTACCCTTCCCAGCGACATACATGTCAAAATGCCACAAAGAAAGTCCCAAAGACAGTTGTAAGAACGTCTAAGTAGCGAACACGAAATTGGAACAATGGAAAGATGGTTTTATACTGGTAAAAGAAGCTAATGCCTAACAGGTCCCGTAGGATGGTTATGGTGAAACTACAAAACATAAAAAATTGTTAGCAAAATTGGGTTTGCACCAGTGAACTCACTGAAGTATACATAGTGTTGACTGTAAATCCAAGGTAAATCCATAAGAAATGACGGCAAATGGGATGTTGGTAAAAACGGTATCTCCTTCTAGTGTACACATAGAGGTGAAAAACGTGGAACGAAGTCTGTGCTGTGATCGCCAGTGAAATTGCTTACATACACTTGTGTTTATCCATGGGTAATGGTTCATTTAAGATGGTGCATGGAAATAAGTGCACGGTCAACTCCGGTTTTGAACTCTGCCAGCGTGGGAGCACATATGACAGTTTCCAGTAGGGTATTCCACGTACGGCAAACGCGTACGGAAAAGAAATTCCGACGGCATTCCAAGCGACTGTGTTGCTTTGCCACTTTGAGATGGTGACCTCTCAAATTGCCGTTGTGACTGAGCTTAAGAAACAAGCGGCAAGGGTGGTTGTTTCGTCCCGAGAAGCATCACCAAGATTAATTGTGTATCCTCCCTACCAGTTGTGATCACCTACGGTTCATCACCATACTTATCAGCAGGTTTCCTTCGAAGTTGAAAATATTAGTTATAAGCTCATATTAAGCGATAGAAAGAAGTGGAAAATTCTAGTTTAGGAAACAGTGGCTCGCAGCACTCCTGGCGGAATTCCGAGTCAGGTCGGAGAAACCGTTAGTACAATCGTATTTGTTGGAGTGAAAAAATTGGGACATTCTAACTGCTGACAAGGTTATTCGGAAGAATCCTGGTGGAAAGATTGGGAATGCTTGATCTCGTACCATAGCAAAAGTGCAGTCGAGTACCAGAAGGCACAGTTCCGGTATGGGAGTCGGTAGTAGACATGACAATATCATTGCTAAAGAAACCCACCGTGTTTTAGGTTGACCTCGGCCACTGCCCGATACTTAAGACAAGGAAGTGTCTGTGTGCAGGAGCCAAACGCATCATCAAGGCTAAAGTCCGGTACCGTCTGCGGCCATGATGACATCAGGAGAGGTGCTCGATCGATTGGAACCAGCCGGTGTCGGCACATTAGTAAACTCTACTTCTTGGTTCAGCCCAGTTGCAACAATGCTAAAGTCATTGGCAAGACACGCGTCTGTGAGCCTTTTCAGTTATTCCGAGCGCTGCGATGGATAGGCAGAAGTACTAGCTGCTTATTGCTTAGGACATCGCTAACAAACTGAAGGGCGACAAGCGCTTACTGTTCGATGTTTACATCCTGGTGAATGATACGTAAGATCAGAGAGAGCTGTTAGCATTCAACCTTCGTCGCTGACCGATCTAGTAAGACCGCCTGCATTTCGATCTGAACACTGTCACCTAAGTCCAAAAAATAAGGGGTACCAGGATTATGAAATTTGCCGGAGCCTGTTCATCTCATAATGGCATCATCTTGATGGGCTGGCAAGAGAAAAACTGGGGAAAAAGCTGGATAAAGCGCTTGGTCGTATCCAGTCGTACGTCCTCTGGATCCGTGAAGACAAACGGATTGCTTTCAGTTCAACGTCACATAAATTAATTTTCGTCCTCTAGTATGTTTGTCAACAACACGATCCGGTGAACAAAAGAAGAAAATAAAATATGAAACGATGCGTCCCCTTAATCCATTTACTGAACGCAGAACGAAGACTTAAGTCACGAAGTGTTAACATTACAATCAATGAACAATGAATTTATACGGGTTAAGAAGCGTTGCTTTACAAGCCCCTTATTTAGTTGCTGTGGATATCAACATAAAAATAATGATGATAAAGACAGTAAAATAGTTAATACTTCAAATATGAAAATAAGGGATTATCGTTTG